GAAGGACTTTGGTGTTTTCGCGTTTATTCAAGAGTGGCACTTCTATGTGTTGTGTGTTTGGTGATAGCAGTCTGTGTTCGATAGTTAAGGTTGATTTAGCCTGGCTTTTAAATTAAATTACGTTAGATTACGTTACACAAAATGCTGGCTAAATCCACATTTAGATAGTGTTAATTTTTCTGTTTGTTTTAAGGTATTTCTGAAATTTTAATATTAAACTAATTTCAATAAACCAGCAGTACATCTAACATACAAATACTTACTAATGACATCTTGCAGAAAAACGCACTTATAAGTCCTAACACTTTTTATTTATATTATATTTGTTATGTTTGTATGATATTTATGTTTTTTATGTACTTTTTTAATGATAAAAAGAATTCTATTTCATAGGTAATAATTAGGTTATAATTTTTTTTTTAAATTGGCCCCGGGACCCGTAAGTATAGTATCTAGTTAGAGGAGCCAAATTTTTAAGTGCCTAAGGTGCTCAATTGCCTTAAGCCGGCTCTGCTTCTTCAATAAACCGTGATGTTTACGTGAAGTGCAAGCCTTTGTTTAACAACTTAACAATGATTCTTAGGTACAACGTAACATACTTGCATGATAACAGGGGTAAGAATTCGAAATTCCGACGTGATGGAGACTTTTGGTGGGCACCATTGGATTCAGGAGGCCATTTTCAGTCGGTATGGCATTTTCACATTTTTGAATTTTTTTTCGGACCCCAAAACTACAATAGTGTAATTAAAGGAGTGCAATAATAATACCTAACCTTTAAAAACAGGAACCAATTCAGGTAAACCCCATGTTCCTAATAAATCTGCTAGGTACTTCAGTCCGCTTATCCATATTATTTACAGGGGCAAATGACTAATTGTAATAAACTAGTTTCTTACCTAAAATATACACAACACACGAGCTGATACACAAATACAAAAGAACAAACACCACCGTCTGGACGCCGTGCAACACCGTTTGTTTACAGGTTAAAAGTAAAGCACGCGCCGGGCTGGACAAATCGCGCGCGAAATGCACAAAGTTTGCAGTTGCATTAACCTACAGAGACAACATCCCCAACTGACACTTTGTTTCACACCGCTGGTGTCTTAGCTGTATGAAAAGTGACGCATAGTTTATACAACCGAACCGTTAGTTCCACGGACTAATTTCAGTCAGTTGAGAATGTTACTTAAATATTTGGTCCAACAAAAACATTTTACCGCCGATATGATTTTTTTGAGATAATGTTGTCAATACTTCTAGCCAACACAAAGTTTCAGTTAAAATAACTTAATCGCCTTTTTGCAGTAAATAATACTCCACAACAAAACTAAATCTTTTCAGGTAATGATGCAAGCAGTTACACATATAAAGGTACTGATTACAAAAAACAAAAAATGTTATTTTCTGCAACAGTTTTACCCCAACGATAATAAGTTAGTTACAAATACCAGGTCTTTTCTAAGAGTGTACCGTTTATTACTTTGATCAACATGCGTAATATATCCCTGAAAATCCATTCATTAAATTCAAACTTTTTTTCTTCTTTTCCAATTAACTGCCATAATAAAAATACTACAATAAAAATAAATGAAATCTATTCTATAAGCAATGAATGATTACGCAAACCTCGTCCTCGTAAATAATGTGGTCTGTGAGCCCAATGTTTTCACTGTCTTGAAAAATACTTGTTATTTGCCCAATTATTATTCCTATTTTTTCAATGCGGCCTACATTCTCTGGATGGGGTAGTGTTTGGTTGTTTGTTATATTTGCTAATTTCTTTGAGTTGTTCTTCCTAATCCCGAATTTAATTGTTAAGTTGTACATGTTTTTTAATTGTATCTCCGCCATGCATTATCCAGTAATTTAATTACTCAATTATATCTAAATAATAACAAAAAGGTAAATGTGTACTCATATAGGTATATACCATGGACACAGTTTATCTTGATATTCGGTGTCATGCCTTAAACTAGTTATTTTGCTTTAATGGACGAAGTTTTTATTTATTTATAATAAAAACTTCTTATAGTCTTTTAGTACCGTGATGATATCCTTGCAGGACGTCCTGAAAGTATATATTACTTTAGGACTTTCATCAATCTTTAGGATTCGCCTCTAAATACATAAGATGAAATTCCTATTTCGTTTTAGAATAACCATGTGCCATGGCAGACAGATCCTGCACATCCAGTACAGTAACTGTTGCTAGTGATGGGTCAGCAACTTTCTTTGAGCCTAATATCCAACACTTCTAGTGTGTTCCTAATAGTTCCTACAGAAAACAGTACAATTTCATTTTATGGATCGAAAAACCTGTCTACACAAGACTACCAGAAACAGTTTCCAGAATTCATTTTATTTAAAGTTCATATTAATGTATTATACTACTAATATTTGCACAAGAATATACATATTTAAAGGAAATAGAGTGTTGATTGCATTTAATGTAGCCATTCATTGAAAACCATAACTTTATTTATGCCAGTGATAGTTTTTCATTAAGATTCATTGTGGCTTCAATTAAATAACAATTTAATTCAATAATTTCTTATGTTTTAACTAACTAAGTTTTAATACAGATTTAATAGAATCACAATTTAATTCAATGACTTCTTATGTTTGAACTAATTTTAAGCAGGTTTGCACAAATAAAAGAAAGACAATCATTCATTTGATCATAGCTGTAGTTCAGGTATTAGGTACAAATACAGTACCATTGGCTCAATGGTTAAACCATTCACAATATAATAGTATATTATTATACGAGCATATAATGAGGGCTATTATTCACGAAGGTTAAGTTTATGTCACGAGCGTAGCGAGTGGCATAATTAACCTGAGTGAATAATAGCTCATTATATGTGAGTAGAATACTATGCTTTGTCCACGACTACTATTGACTTTTAACGGATTTTAATGCAAAAAAATTTATATTTATTATAACCTATTTGACATTAACAAAACCAAAAATTAAAGATGCCTGTGACTATTTTTAAAACTATTTATTTATATTAATTGTAATATATATATATATATATATATATAAAATATACCAGTAAAACAGACTTTGAGAATGAATTAATTTTCTTGGTCGCTCTCCAGTCCATAAACGTGTTGTACACAGATACGTACAAATTTCGGGATTTCTCAGGCAACAAATTCAGGGAAGTGACTTTTGCAGCTTCTGTTATCTCCGGTGGAGTACACAATATATCTTCTTCACTATCAATTTCCATTATTAACGTATTTTTGAAAGCAAATTATAATTTTAACAGGAATTATTATTGCACCACCGCGTCGTTAAAATTTGATGTTTCAAATAATTATTAGTTGTCAGTTGATTACATGGCTTACTACCTACTTGATAATTCTATTATTTATAGATTATGCAGTATTTTATTTCCAATGAATGTGATTTTTTAGGTAATTCGTATTTCTAAAAGTGACTTCTGTGATGTTTTGTTGAGTGCGTAACATCTCTTTATCTTTCACGCTTTGATTTTTTATGTATAATTTAAGATTAATAATAATTTGTAACAAAAATCGTGTGCTGAATCGAAGTTATGACGTTTCAAATTGACAGCAATTTATGCTAAGCTTGTCATGTCATGTCAATGGCTTACTTACTTGAAATAGTCTACTTAATGTTAAATTTTTATTCAATTGCATTAAAAAAACATATTAAAGTAATACTTTAACAAGACTTTTATGATTGGTATAAAGTTAGATAATTAAAGTGCCTGGCTATAATTGCCTAGACGAACTTATAAGTGCTTGCCAGATACAATCTATATCGTGTGTCCTATAGGAACTCTAGACCAGTGAATAATGATTATTCACTGCTATTATTCACTCTGTGAAATATGACTATCATTTTGCTTTAGAAAACTCATTTATAAAGTATATATTATAAGGTAGTCGTGGATAAAAGCTTTTTCTCTGTGTATAATTCAATACTATGATAAATTTTCATGAAAACTTGCGTATTTAATTAGTGCACGAAAGAAGGCGGAAGGAAAGTTTCGAAAATGCCAAAAATAGGTGTGGAGGATGTAAATGAGCATAAACAATCGGCGCAGGGTGAAAAAGTTGTATAATTATCGCTTAATCAATAAATAAAGGGTCTGATAATTGAAGTGACTTACCGTGATTTTCTGTGAAAAAGAACATGCAGCGAGCCAAAAACACGTATCTAATAGACGTAGAATTTGAAAGTGGAAGTGAAAAAAGCGTGAATTATGAAAAACAACGTCATAAATTTCGGAAAATTTTTAAAATCAGGTAATTTGAGGTTATGACGATTAGCTGTCATCTTGGTTATGCAGGTACACTGCATTGTGCCATACCAAACGGTTTGGTCCAAACCAACCCAAACTTAACAACTCAACCCAACCGACCCCGATTGTTTATGCACTTTTACATCCCTCCACACACAGAAAAAATCTAACATAGTACCAAGAACAGCGCTGTCATTAAATGCATTAAAATTGAAGCAATCTAAATTGTTATTTGCTCAATTAATTACTATTAAACCAAAATAGGGAAATATTTTGCCTAAATGACAAGGATTTTATTAAGTTAAATGTAGACATAGTATACATACAATAGTAACATTATTAAATAAATCAAATTAGTATTTAATGCAATAACATTCTAACATTCTAACCAATAAATATCAATATGAAAATCAATAGATTTAGGAGCGATAACTTTTGTTATTAATTTAAAAACAGTAAACGATTATAAACCAAGTGCTAACTACCTATTGGAATTATAGGAACTGTAATTCAGGAATAGGGATTACATAGCATAGGCTAGTGTTTTTTCTGTGCACCTATTTTTTGCATTTTGGCAACTCCCATGCCGTTTTTCGGAAAAGTCGCTACAGTGTAAATTTAATAATACTAAGTATTAATATTAATAAAATAACAATACTTTTTTAGGCATTTTTTAATTCCACATCTATATTTTTATATAATAAAATCTTAAATATGAGTTTACTTTTCGTCACCTTCTGGTGCGTCAAAGGGGTTACACTGCGCTTTTTTCGTCTTGGGACAATCTTGGTCCCTCTTCTCCTGAGCTTGCATCATTTCCATGTAGGTGTCGTACAGACTCTGTTGGGGGCAAAACGTTTGACTCTCCGTGTAAAATTTCCTGTTGTACGGATGGATCAAGAGATCGTACATCTCCTCCTCTTTTTGTTGACAATTAAACATCAAAACTTCGGTTCTTTTGAAGGCGTAAATGCTGCTGAAGACCATCCAGGACATGTCGAGGATGCAAATGATCACTATCGGAACCACTTCGGGGTAGGACATGTGAAACTTGAGTGAAAATGGATTACGGGGAGTTGGTTGCATGAACGTTGGTACCAGCGGATTTCTCCATGAGTACCTTAATTTTTCGTAATCCATGATTTAACTGAAATTTTGCTTTGAATGAAAATATAAATGGAAGTTTTATGTTTAATTGACGTTTACTTCAAATAACATCAACGCCATCTATTGCCAGTGCGCGATGTTCTCAAACTCACGACAAAGACTTTGTACTTAGTAAGATGTTTAGTGTGGTTACGCACAGAGAAAAAGCTTTTATACTGTGAATGGGTTAACCATTGAGCCAATGATATACTGTATTTGCAATACCTGAATTACCGCTATGATCAAATGAATGATTGTCTTACTTTTATTTGTACAAACCTGCTTAAAATTGGTTCAAACATAAGAATTCTTAAATAACAATTTAATTCAATAATTTCTTATGTTTTAACTAAGTTTTAATACGAATTTAATAGAATCACAATTTAATTCAATGACTTAAGTCATTGAATTAAATTGTGATTCTATTAAATTCGTATTAAAACTTAGTTAAAACATAAGAAATTATTGAATTAAATTGTTATTTAATTGAAGCCACAATGAATCTTAATCTTAAAACCTATCATTGGCATAAATAAAGTTAAGGTTTCTAATGAATGGCTACATTAAATGCAATCAAAGCTCTATTTCCTTTAAATATGTATATTCTTGTGCAAATATTAGTTGTATAATACATTAATATGAACTTTAAATAAAATGAATTCTGGAAACTGCTTCTGGTAGTCTTGTGTAGACAGGTTTTTCGATCCATAAAATGAAATTGTTCTGTTTTCTATACGAACTATTAGGAACCCACAAGAAGTGTTGGTAAAATTAGGCTCTAATATTATAATACTGGATGTGCAGGATCTGTCTGCCATGGCACATGGTTATTCTAAAATGAAATAGGAATTTCATCTTATGTATTTAGAGGCGAATCCTAAAGATTGCTGAAAGTCCTAAAGCAATATATACTTTCAGGACGCCCTGCAAGGATATCCTGATGGTACTAAAAGACTATGAGAAGTTTTTTTATAAATAAATAAAAACTTCGTCCCTTTAAGCAAAATAGCTATTTTAAAGCATGACACCGAATATCAAGATAAACTGTGTCCATGGTATATACCTACATATATGAGTATACATTTACCTTTTTGTTATTATTTAGATATAATTGAGTAACTAAATTACTGGATAATGCATTGCGAACATACAATTAAAAAACATGTACAACTTACCTTGAAAATTCGGGATTAGGAAGTAAGCCCCCAAGAAATTAGCAAATATAACAAACAACCAAACACTACCCCATCCAGAGATAACCCATACACTTACATCAATCGGCGTCACCAGAAATACCGATTAATCAGTTGATCATATTTAACTATACGCATGCAATCGCTTTCGTGCACGAAAGCGATTGCAGGTTGCCGATGCGTGGTGTGGCAGGGGATGCCCTGGCGCGTTTGTATGAATTTTAGCAATCATTAAATTGATTATAGGCCGCATTGAAAAAATGGTAATGATAATTGGGCAAATAACAAGTATTTTTCAAGACAGTGAAAACATTGGTATTCACTGTAAGACAGAAATAACTTACTTTACCTTAGTTTCCATTGGAATAAAAATCATAAACAAGAAACAAAGACTATTCTTATTTCATTTGTTTTTAATTTTTGGTTGAAGCATTATAACTTTTGATATAAATCAATGTTATATTTAATTAAATATTGTTAATTTTACCTTAATCAGATAAACTTTAAATGCAATCATTCCTAAAATTTTCAAGGAAGTACATATTTCCATTAGGTTTAAAACTAAAGAGCCACTCACTCTATAACAAGTAATTTTAACTTGATAATATTTTGTCATGGGCTGAATATAATATTTGTAATAACATCAATCCCTTACCCTCAATTGCTCCAAACATATTTGATTGAATAAACTTTAACTTTTATTGGAGAAATGAAGAAACAATAAATTATAGCATTGGTATTGACTATATCAAAGCGTTTCTTCTGTGCGGTGGGCGATTGGTTAAAACTATCTTATCTTTATGAAATTAAAACTTCACTAACATACCTAGTTTTAGATTTTAGTGTTCACCCAGGTGAAAGTTTTAAAGTGAAAAGTTAGTGTAGAACATCACACTATAGAGTGAAATATATTTTTAATCCTAAAATATATTTTTTCGTCCAAGTGCTATTCCACATCAATCTTACTTCACACTTAAATATACATTTAACAGTAGCCAAGCTCTGGCAGTGCACAGTAGTGTAAATATTCAATCAGAGGGTGTTCAGTTGACTAAAAGCAAACTTGTTTCGTTCATTGTTCTCTTAGAATTTGTATTGGAAGAATGCACCTTGATGTTTAGTTGTGGTTTATAATTATTGACTAAAGATCAATAATGGCTTATAATGTCGAAAATCACATTTTGTTTTGGTTCATAAGGTCGAAAATCGCGTGAAAATTGCGTTTTGTTTATTGTACAGACAAATTTCAAGCACAGTTCTTTTAATTTTTCGATGTTTTTCCTGAAAGTAAAACATGTCCATGTTGCCAAGTTTAGAGACTTTAAAAATTTAGCCAAAACCTTAGTAGTGCGATACCAGCAGGTGGCATTTTATGATAACAACTTTAGCACTGAATTGCAAAGTTGGTCCTTCAAAGTTTTATTTTGACTATTTCCCTCGTCTTAATTTCCACCAATCACAAACGCGCAATTTTGAATTACAAATGGTTTCTAGGTGAAAAAACTGTGTGACAGCACCTGTCAGCAGTTTATTCGAGTTTACCCGCGGCAAAACTTGACAGCTGTTCTCACCAAAAATTGCAATTTATATTTTATTGTTAACTGTTACTCATGAAATAGTCTTGTCAAATACCATTCGGGCATCTAATTTTTCCTGTGAAAAAATCGAAAAAACACAATGCTAAGTAATATTTTTTAACAAAATGCATTCGTGCAGGTGCAAAAATCCTCCTCTTCGACTCGGATTTTTGTTGCCACCAGCACTCATGCTTTTTGTTAAAATATTACTTAGCAACGTGTTTTTTTTTTATTTTTTTCGGAAAAATTAAATGCCCTTATGATATTACTTACGAGAATATCCCTGCAAAAATTTGGTATATAATTATATAGAAGAATTTCCCGATTCGATAGAAATTTTAGTCACAAAATGGGTAAGAATTGGTTACCTGTATAAAACTACGAGATTTTAAGCTGGCTCCTTTGTAATACAATTATGGCTCCTTTGTATATACAATTTACACCAATTGGTACTTTGTGGCAAAATATTATTTGGTGTTTTGAACGTATTTATATTTTAAGTAATTGCCGAGGTAATTGCCAAAGATTAGTTTTATATTTAGTAGCGTAAAACTTACAATGGACTGTATTTACGTATTTATATAAAGTAATTGCCAAATATAGTAGTTTAATTTTTTGTAACGTAAAACTTACAATGGACTGTATTTTTAAATAAATATAAGTTGTATTTGTTTTATATAAACATTATTTAAACACCCCAGCAGCGCTATCCAAAAGTAATTCAGATAATTAAAAATAAATGAATATATAAAATATTAATACTAGCAGAATCATTGCCAACCTCCATTATATATATTTTTTTAAATGTGCAATAATTTTTATATTATTATTAACATTTGAAAGTCTATGTAAAAAACGAATATTAATGCTAGTTCAAAATTATTATTAAACTTTCTACTGAAATAAAGCTAAAATATCCGTCAGTTGATCCTAACCTAAAAATGATGTGACAGAATTAAAAAAAAAATGCAATGCTTAAAAAAAATAGTATATAAAGCACGGCAGAGAAAGCTTAATAATTGCTTCGCACAAAATCTACTGCTTCAGCTGACGCCTCCGCAGTGAAATGTATGCTCAGCGATAATAAGTGCTTTCTCCTCTTGGTCTTTAATGTACTGATATAATATTATATATTATACCATTTTTATCGACATTAAATAAATTTTATGTATGTAACTTTAAGGGCGCACTTACACAATATGGGTGTATATTTTTTATATCTTTTAGTGTTAGGGTAAACACTAGATTAAATTTCCAGCACTATTAGGTATAGCATTCATACTAAAAGTGAAATAAATGCAAATAAATTATTATCAAAGTGAACACTTTTAGAGAGCTAGTATAGTAATTTTCAATCACATAGTGTATGAAGTCGGACGAACTGTGTTAAATGTGTTACACTGCAAGAGTACAACCTCTAGAGTTAAAACATCACTAATATTCACACTAAATTTAAGGTGAAAATTGAACTCTAATTAAGTGGACCTGCTCAAGCTTTAACTAATGTTTTCTAGTAAAGCCTCGCGTAAAGCTTATTTTTACTGTGTAGATACCGATTTTCTTATTTGAAAATATGTTGCAATAAAACAATTTTACTTTTTCAATTTATTTCAATTGGCAAAGAATCCTAAAGGGCTTAGACCGTAACAAGTTGACATTACCCTTTTCAAAGTAGGTTTATAAACGATTTAGATAAAGAGGACATTTTTCTTAGTTTAACTAACAAAAAAAATATAAGTCAATATAATTCGTTAAAAAGACAAGTAGGCAATCGACCCCTATCTATATGATTTCAGCCATTTAGGTTTACTTATTTTTGCTACATTATCGATTATAATAGGTAAACCTATTATTTTTTTGTTTAAAAACTCAATTTTTACACTTTTTAACAATTTTATGGGATTGACAAAATGCAGTTGACACTTTTCTCATTACTAAACTATAAATTATATTAATTTATGGGCTTTTCTAAAAGACATCATACTTCGTAAAACAGATTTTATTAATTTTCCCTGGAAAATTATGCATCTTGATGAGAGCCTATAAATAAAAACTGCCACAGTTTAGCCTTGAAAATTCTTATAATTAAATGAACTTTTATTTGTAAAATTTAAATCTATCAACTCCTTAGAATATGATTATTGAAAGGGAAATGGAAAAATTTCATATTTGCGCTTTTCATCTTCCTCTTCATTTATTTCTGGAAATTAACTTTCATAATTCCACTTTCAATAAGAATATAAAACTTCTTATCGTATTAAACGAATTTGATTATTTTTGTTGAAAAATACTTTGAA